TGCTTTTGTGTAAGAATTGTTGGCATGAGATTTATACATTTTCTTCGAACTTACACCTTTTGTGAAAGAGTATATAAGCACAAAAGTATAAATGTTGTGCCAAAAATTCTTACACAAAAGGAGTAACTTTTCAAAAATGGTGTAAATATTTTCACGAAAAGTATGAAGGAGTAACATTTCAAAGTGTTGATAATTAGGAAAGGAGTAACAAAGGGTTCATTTTAAAATGTTCGTAAACACAGAAGGAGTAACATATGTTCATCTCAAAGTAGTAAACACAAAATGAGTAACATTTCGAAGTGTTCATAAACCAATTAAGACAACCACTGAACAAATCAAAGGGTTCGTGACCCTCGCTGACCACCCAAGCGTCGGTGGGCTCCGGTGCTCATAGCCTTCTGAGATCGGCACCTCCACTTGTACCGCCGCCGCAAATCAAAGGTTTTTTGAAAGATTGGTTATCGATCTTGGACTCTCTGTGTCGATGTCGGTCTCTCTCTGTCAATCCCTGTTTATCTCGGTCTGTCTCCAGTGATCTTGGTCTGTCTGTATCCATGTGGGTCTCTTCTCTGTCGATCTCTGCCGATTTCGGTCCCTCTGTCGATCAGTGTCCATCTAGGTCTCTATGTCTGTTGATCTCAGTCTATCTTTCTCTCTCTCTGTCTGTCTGTCTGTCTGTCCGTTGCTCTATATTAAAAACAGTTCTCTTTTACATTGACATACTTGGTTGGATTTGGACTCGGAGTCGCTATTCGAAGCCCTCCCAGACTTGTCTTCTCTAAAACGGAGTTCTACTGGGAGAAAGACCAAGCCCTCCGAAACGCCCTTCTCTCTCACATTGCCATTATCTGAACAAGACAAATACAGTGTGATTGGATTTTAGGAACTTACAGGTTTTCGAGGGAAAAAACAGAACTTAGACGTTTTGCGAAGTTACTTACATCTCTTTGTGGCATAAGATTTATACTTTTTCTTCGAACTTACACCGTTTGTGAAAGCCCAACTTAAACCTTTTGTGTAAGAATTTTTGTCATAATATTTATACTTTTTCTTCGAAGTTACACCTTTTGTGGAAAAAAAAATTCATCAAATTTACACATTTTCCTTAAGCTTACACCTTTTCGTGGAAGTGCTTACACTATTTTTGAAAAGTTACTCCTTTGGTGTAAGAACTTTTGGCATAACATTTATGCTTTGTCTTCGAACTTACACCTTTTGTGAAAGCTCAACTTAAAGCTTCGTCGAAAGTCACTTATACCATTTGTGAAAAATAAAATTCATAAAATTTACACATTTTGCTTAAGCTTACACCTTTTCGTGGAAGTGCTTACACCATTTTTGATATGGTGTGGGCTTCGTTTAGGAAATCCTTATTGGTTTGAATATCCTTCGAGCAAGTCTGAACCATCTCTGAAAGGGTTGGCCATTCCGTGATGATCTTGGCCAATTGGTTTAGTTGAATGGGGTTGAAAGGATTAGGGGAGAGGTTTACAACAGCAGAAAGACAGGACAAGGTTTCATCATGTTTGTGGAGAATGATTTCTTCAACTGAGGTGTTAATGAGGTTGATGAAGGTGGTTAAGGTTTGTTGAGTTTCAGCATCAAACAGATGTAGCCTTTGAGGCAATGGGGATATTTCGTCTAGATCTTGTTAAAGAATAGAAAGTTCGGCCCAAATATCCTGGCATGGACCGACGGCCTGTGAACATTAATAGTTTGGTGAGAATATATGCTTGCAAGTAATAAAGAGTAAATAGGATGAGGTTGGAAATGGTAGCACCTGTCCTGATAACGTGTGCGCAGACGTTGGCCTTGTTCAGCTGTGGTTGTGGCATCAGGACGAGTTGTTTCTGGTACTGATGAAATGGCAGCATCAGCGCCTTGAGGCTCTTTCTCTGGTTCTGCTAACAGGGGAAAGTCATGAGGACCTTCAAGTTCTGTCTCGCCCATTGGTCGTGGAGATGAGTCCTGTATTATGTCCATCCCTGTAAATTGGAGAACAATACCAGTTACTTAAAGAGAAGTTTTTTTTTTCCCAAACGAACAGTAACATTTGTATTTCTATTTACCTTGGTTGTGGTGAACTTCTGGTTAAGGGGATTTTGTGTTGTCATCTATTGGAGAGGATTGGCTGTTGATTGAAATGTCAAATTCAATCTTCTGTGATTCTTTGTTTGACGTTTGGGAATTGGAGGGATTAGATGGTGATGGTTGAGGGCTAGAGACAAAAGGGACAATGTGTTGAGGAGAAGTGGAAGGATGTTGTGATGCAGACTGTGTAGATTGCTGTGGCGAAGACTGTGAAGCAGGCTGTAAGGAAGTTTGTTGCGATGCTTCAGGTGGTGGTGGAGTTGGTTGTACAGTGGGTTCTATGGGTACATTGCTGATTGGACTAGGAATTTGATGAATGTGTTGAGGAGAAGTGGAAGCATCGTCATCATCAGCAGCAGCAAGGAGTAATCTCCTTCTTTTTCTCTGCACAAAAGTAAGTGATCAGTCGGGCGTGAATGCAAATTGAGATGCTGTAAATATGTAAAGTGAAGGCTTACTTGGTAGAGCTGCCCTGAAGGATTTGATGTTGTTTGGCCAACCATTTGGCTGAGACGGATATCCCACTCACTTAGGTCTGTGCTTAGAGCAGGAGTAGTGGAAGGCTCTTTTTTCTTCTTCGCCGTGACCTCTATCTCGGCAGGGGTACGGGTGGTAGTTCCTCTCTGTGCTTGTGTTTGCGCGGCTGCGAAAGAGTCTGCCATTAATTTCGGAACTGAGGGGGTGTTTGTTTGAGTAGTTGCATCCATTGGATCTTTGCCTTTACATTGGTCCCTAACCAATGGTTTAGCAGCAGGCCCAATTTTGGCTGTCAAAGGTTAAACAAGTTAGTGTTGTAGAGAAAAAAACAAAACAAATTGCATGACACAGTCAGGGATATGAAGTATATGAAGGAAGGATACCTGTAGCCTTAAGCTTGGAAGGCGAGGATATGCGGCCCTGAATATGAATACAAGTATCGTTAAGGCAGCTTTCAAGTGGCTTGCAGAAAATAATGGCAGACATAAGTCCCCACCAATGGTCAAAAGCAGCCGAGCAGTCCGAAGCAGGTTTGAAGAAGAAGGGGCCAAAATCTTGGAAAAGTTTGGTGTTCTCTGTCAGAATGGATTCAGCTTGTGTAGGATCTTTCAAGTGGATTCTGGACCCAATCTCCTCATGGATGGTTGGGTGGAAATAAGGATAAGGGATAGCCTGGGAAAGACCAAATTGCCTGGACCATTGATTAGGACAGTATGTCTCAAAACTGCAGCTGGATAGCTTGGCGGAGGATATGAAATAGCCAACCAAGACATGTCTAGAGGTGAGAATGTGTCTCCAACTCTCATTTTGTTCTTGGACTTGCTCATTGTGTAAATCAGAAGGGTCTGTGAAGAGGAAGCGAAGTCTACTGGAGGAGAATTCAAAGTTTTGAAATGGCATGTACAGGTTGGAAGGTCTCTGCGAAGGAAGGTTGTAAAACATGGTAAGATGATTTGTGAAAGTGAGTTTTGAATGGCTGTTATAAGTGAGCAGTTGCTCAGCATAGGAGTGGCAAACAGGTTTCAAGGTGTTAGGTGGTGGGGGTCGTGCCTCAGGGAAATAGGCATACAACCAGGCCTGGAAGAGCCAGAAGGGGCCACCACAGTTGCCAGAAAGTTTCGCAACTGTGTTGAATTATAGTGATCAATACGCCCGTTTGAAATATTGATTTACTGTAGTTGCATCAATATGGAAATCTAACTTACTGGTTGCTGTTATGTTCGTATTGCTGGCGGTGTTTAAAGTGCATCGTTTCGGGTAGGGTGCGACTGTTAGTTGGAGTTGGGAATTTAGGTGTGTGGTGATGGTGTGCGTTGCAAGTTTTGGTTCATGTTTGCATTGTAAATGTGTGTTTGTGGCGTGATGTTCGCACTGTTAAGATTGTATGAATTAATGGCAGAGGAAGTAATATGTTGTTGATGTGCAAAGGCTGGTGTGATATTAACCACATGACGTCCACACGCTTGGGTTGGTTACCCTGGATGTTGTCATACCAAACACGAATGCAGATTATTTGCATGTTCTGTTGTAGTTGAAAAAATACTGCAGTTCAGGATGCACGTAAAGACACGTGAAAAAATGTTGTGGAAGGTATTAGCTGACATAAAAGTTTGTGACGGAACTACGTTATCTGCTGTGCAGATTACACGTATGAAATTAAATGAAGGAAACCTATTATTAATAACTGAGTGTGCCAATGATAGTAAATTGGGTATGACATTGTCGTGTGGCGTCGCACAAAATTATTGAAATCGAAAAACAATTGAAACAAAAAAATTGCATCGAGGGAAAAACTGGAACAGTAATAAGAAAGTATTGTATCGAATATGGCGAGGAAAAAACTTGAGTAGTAGTAATAGTTTAGTGCTGGTGTGGCCGGGTGAAAGGATGTGGTTAAATGGGTTCGTTCCATGTCTTCCTGTTATGATTCCCCATGCGCCCACATCTGCCGCATCTTATTTGCTGAACATGTTCCCCCTTTGACAATATCCTCTTCTTCTTTGGTCTACCGGGTGGACGTTTCACAGCAGGGGGCTTTATGATGTAATCATTTGGGTTGAAAGGCGGTTGCTCGACAGTGGGAATTGGGAAAATACTTGATGCGTAAGTGGCCCGAAACTCGGACACGTGGAAGTATGGTTCGACCAAAGTGTTCAAATCGCGCCCACTCTTACGGACGGCAACCATCGCATGTGCGCAAGGGAACCCATTGAGTTGCCACTTGAAACATGAGCAAGTTCGTCGTCCGATGTCAACAGTGACCGATGGGAAAGAGTGCACTTCGTATACATCAGCGTTTGATTGGCTCACTTTCCATGATCTACCTTCGTTGAATGCTTTTTCTAAACGATCCTCCATTTTGGGACATATGGTGCCAGTCCACAGTTGGGAAGCGTCTCTACGTTTCGCCATTTGTCGCATCAATTTGGTCCGTATGCTGTCAACCATTCTTGTGATTGGGAGGTTACGGGCCTCACGGACCCATGAGTTGAATGATTCTGCAGCATTTGAGCACATTTCGCCGTAACGTCGCCCCCTGCAGAATGAGTAGAACATGTAGGTAAATAATTATGAACATTATGAGGAAATGTGTTGTGCATGTGGTTTTTATGAGTAACATGTGGGACGGACCTGAAAAATGCATTTGCCCAATGTTGTGGATGTGCATTTGCTAGGAATTCAGATGCAACAGACCTGCCCGATTTTTGGAATTGTTCTACTCTGTGGTTAAAAGCGGTAACAGTTGGTGCGTATGCGCAATGTCGTAATTTGCTAACCAAACCTGCCCGATGCATACTGTTTGTGTAACGCAACCTGTCCCTTAAGTTCCTCTGCAAATGTTGTAGACAGAATGCATGTTCTGCATTCGGAAATACGGTGGGCATTGCCTCAAGCAAACCAAGGTTCCGATCCGATACGAATGTTAGAGGTCTGTCACCATGAACCACCTGCGCGAGATGATGAAGAAACCAAGACCAGTTTGAGGTGTTTTCAGAATCCACCACCGCATATGATAGCGGGAACAAACCTGCAAATTTGGAATTTTTTTGTAGAACTAAGGCTGTGACAGAAACATAGCCCCTGGGGTTAATGACCACGTTAAAATGTAGTTTGCAGGTGGTGTGGTTGGTTGTCATATGAATGGGGTATTGTGATTGTGTAAATTGAAGGAACTAACCTTGGTTTCCGTCTTTTGCAGTGGCCGCAAGTAGAAAACCTTTGAAGCGGCCTTTGAGGAACGTGGCGTCTAGGAAAAGCAAAGGGCGGCAATGGTGGAACCCGTCGATGCATGCTTTGAATGAAATGAAATAGCGTCTGAACTGTTGGGTGTGATCATCGTATTCGATGTTAATGTAGGTCCCGGGGTTGTGTTCCAATACTGCATTACTATACCAACGTAACTGGTCAAACGAAATGGAATGTGCACCGAACAATTCTCCCCTCGCTTTTTCAACACCGAGCCAGGCCACCCGGTAACTTATATCGAGCCCGTAATCTTGTTTCAAGTCCAATATCACTTCGGTCGGACGGGTTAAAGGTCTATCACGCACACGTTCAGATACAATGTCGGCCACAAGATCAGACCCAACAAGTGGGTGTGTGGACGTACGCACAGCCACGCCACAAATGTGTTCACTGTTCCATTTTCGTAAGTAGAAAAATCCGTTTGCCTC